TGCTTTGGATGATAGTGGGTTTCTTCTTTCTTTTTGTGCCTGGTGTGTTCACCTCTCATACTTTGTTACGATCCTTTTAGTTGTCCATAGTGAACTCCAATGAACCTGGGGTAATTATGTTCAAGACGGATGTGTTGAAGTGTCGAGTCGCTCTCAACCCAAAGAACTACCAGACGCTGCAGCTCAAGGTCACTCCAGAAAACACTGGTCCTTGGTCCCAGGAAGAACTTCAGGTGCTGGAGAAATTCTTTGAGACAAGGGTATGTAAAAACAAAAACAAGAAAAACAACGGCATTAAACCACAATTTTAATTTTTGAAAACCTTTTTACTTGTTACCTTGAACTAACAAAGACACTAGGCCATTTTTTAATTCTGTGTGCCTTCATTACTACTTCAGGTCGCTGGACCTCCCTTTAAATACAACACTCTGAATGCCTTCACGAAGCTGCTGGGGGCACCTACCAACATTCTTAGGGACTGTGTGCGAATTATGAAGCTCGAACTGGTGAGTAACTACTTTGTTTATATTTAAATAAATATATTTATTATGCTTGTATCAGAATGTTTTTTTGAGTCACGTCTTCACTACACAAAACATTGTGAATGTATATGAACAATACACATTCACTACTGCAGTCCACATTATAGAATACTGTAGTTTACAAATGCTACTTTATGGTTCTGTTTTGTGTGTGCTAATGTAATAAGTGTTATTCCTGCCTCTCCTTAGTTCCCTGACCAGGCTGCTCAGCTGAAGTGGAACGTTCAGTTCTGTCTCACCATCCCTCCAAGTGCTCCTCCTATTGCTCCACCTGGAACCATTGCTGTGGTGCTTAAATCAAAGATGCTGTTCTTTGTAAGTTGTAGTTTTTTCATGATGTAAAAAACATCTCAGAAACTGACCAAAAATACAGTGGTTGTGGGGATTTTTTCTTTAGTGTTTCTTTTAGTAACTTCATAATTTCATAACCATAGATGATAATTCATAATGACCATAATAACAAACATGCCAATTAGTCCCTAGTCTTCGATACAGGGTTTGATTTTAAGCAAACTGCTGTTCCACTTTGCTGGGACAGACAAGACATCAGAGTTAGCTAGTCAACTTTGCATATTACAATTCCCTTAAACATTATATCCTATGGGGAGCAGCAGGCTACTTTGAATCAATTCACTTAAAAATGACCTGTGATTTACCTGTGATGGGTTTGTTTTGGCTCACAGTTGCAGCTGACCCAGCGTATACCAGTTCCACAGGAGCCAGTGAGCATCATTGTTCCCATTGTGTATGACATGGCCACAGGCCTCACTCAGCAGGCTGACATCCCTCGACAGCACAATTCCTCTGGAGCTGCGGCACTCATGGTCTCCAGCATCCTCAAGAGATTCAATGAGCTGCACCCAACAAGACAGGGTGAGAAACTGCTCTAGTCAAAAGGGAAATTCACTTCACTCACTGTAAACTGTAAACACTATAAACTTAAACTGTTATTTTCCTTTCTCAGGTGAGTGTACAATATTTGCTTCTGTTCACGAGCTTATGGCAAACCTCAATTTGATGTCTGGTACCCGCCAGTAGTTAAAACAGCCGTCAAACCTGCAATGAAGCTGTTGTCCGTCCGGTGGCGAAGCTCAGAAGTTAAGGGGCAGCAGCAGCTGTCTGAAGACATCAAAACCTCAGCATGTGTCCTTTCTGCTCCTGTCGCTGAACTATTGACCTGATTTATTTTGGTGTTCTAAAAGGGAGTGAACAGAAAACAGTCATGGAACGCTCATTCATTACTTGTGACACAAGCTAAGAAACAGGATTCGCCTTTAAGGTGGATCAAGCACGAGGGTTTTTTGATGCAAAGAGATTAAAATATTGTATTTTCATCTTGGTGCACTTGTAAACAAGATTATCTATTGAATTTATTGTTGTTTACGAAAATATGTACATTATTGTATATTTAAGCTTTGAAGAATCCAATGAGTTACATTTTTTCTGCAACCCTGTCTCGCTTTTCTACACCACACTGGTATTACAGTAGTATCAGTAGCTTTACTCCTCGATACACTATTTAAATATATTCATCTTTTCCAAGACCTGGATTTTTATTTCAGACTGTATACTTTGGATACTGTAAAACTGTGATGAACTTTATACATCAATTCTATTTTATAAGGATGGATTTTGAGTATTGATCGAGTTAATTGAGGAATCATGTCTGATTTTTGTATTTAATAATAAACCAAGCCCACAGGTGGTTTGTGCTTCCATGATCATCTATGAAATAATGAACAACTAAAGCTAAGTCATTAGTTATTTGCAGACTTCAAGTGCTGCCACTAACATCTTAAGTTATAGGTCATTAAAATATCAGTAATTGTGCATATACTGTATATATTAATTTCACTCTGTATATGAATGTATATATGTGTTTGCCAGTTTGAATTCTTAAGTATATAGTGTATCGAATGAATTTAGGTGAAATATTTTAGACTATTTGAACTGCAGTGTTATAGTGGTAAAGCTCCAGCCTGCTGTGTGGAAGGTTCCAGGTCAACACCAGCTAATCCCCAAAGCCAAGGGTGTGGTGCATTAGAAAGGGTAACTGAGGTACAACTGCCAAATCACTCTGAACTCTGCAGAGACATCTGATGAGGGACAAAGCTGAGGTATTTTATATTACTTTAAAATTGGAATGTTAGGTCTGGTTATAAAAATAGTCCTACATTCTGCTTCCTAAACTGTAGTTAATTGAATAACTTATTTCCAAAAGCTAACAGCTAGCAAAGTCTATCACTTGTTCTGGTGGGGGGGTAATTTCTCGGTTTGAAATCGTGTCACACTCGCCTGATAGAACAGGGTATTGAAGCTGTGTTAATATCACCCCCTGCCCCCTGTAGGTTAGCGTAGAAAGCTAGGCTGTACTTATTTAGAAACAAAGAGAAAAAAGAATGAGACCGAGCTCTAAAAAAACGCTAATTAATTCAATGTCCCTGAAAAATCTCCAGTGACCCATCTGTGTGGCCCAACCCGGCAGGTGAAAATACTTGTACTGTTAGTTTCTATGAGTCGGTCACTCAAGGAAACTCCATCAACAAGTGATGCTGAGAACCGCATCTTAAAAAGATGACATCATCACAAAGCCTGATCCCCGTTATGTGTGTGTGCTTGCGCGCGCGCGCGCGCATATGAAATTCACCGGCTCTAACTGCATGGCTGCTGAATCAACTGAAGGGTGTGGACACTCCCGTGTTCTTTTTAATTTCATTTGTAGTTTTATCGCTTACATGGATGGTTCATCTTGGGTCTATTATGGATGAGTTCGTCACTTTGCGGATACGAGCGGGCGTCGTCACCTGCGAGGAAACTACGGATCACGGACAAAGATCGACAACCGTGTCGGCGTCTGTTCTCCCGGAATAAACGCTAGATACCTGAACGCATCTCGGTACAGACCAGATGCAGAAAAATAAACGAGTGGGGTCTTCGACGGTCTTGTTTCCGTGGCTTTGTATGGCTTTTGTCAGTGGAGCAGGTTTAGGGTGAGTGGGTGTGATCACCGCAGCCGGGGCTCCAGACACTCAGCTATGGCCGTAAACGCATCAGAGCCGCTATGTCAGCCATGCACGTACAACGATGCGTTCAAAGGTAAATGATAGCTGTTCGATCTTGACGTTATTTTAACATTTCTGTGTTGACTGTGTTTGATTTTCAACTACACATACCTCTGGAAGTAGCGAACCTCTGCAGAAAGTCATTTCAACACACTGACCACTCCCCTCCAGTCCTCACCTGCCCCCACGATTGGACCTGCAGGATACTGTCACAAAAGATTTGGGTTATTATTTAGGATCTGTAGGCTTGGGTGTGTCAGACAGGTTGACAGCGATGTTTGATTGTCTTCTGTGGTCAGTGGATCTACAGGTGAAGAGACCTCTGATGCCTGTCCAGCTTGGTCCAGAGCAAGTGGGTTTGGAGATGTTGTGTCTCTGTGGACAACTGGACCTCCTTATCAGGGCACAGATGCAGCAGGTACAGTAGCTAGAGGGGTCACTGCCACCATTACTGAAGCTCTTTTCTGAAGTTTACCCTAATGCAAATGCCCACCCAACAAATAATTTGACCTATTGACTTCACCAGTGCTCATGTGCCCTAAAAACAGGTATGGTGGGAGCAACTGCTTCCTAGTCAATTCACACACTCTGTCCAGTACGTTGAAAGCAGCTACTATCACTGTGTATGCACACTCCTTACTCTGTCCTCATATGATGTATATTAAAGTTTCAGGAGCAGTTAGGACAAGGCTGCAGCCCAGAGGAATCAGACACGTTCCAGACTCAAGGTATGAGCCACAGTATAACGCATCTACATATAAATGTGCTGTGTATCTGAATATATTGTGTTTTTATTCTTAAAGGATCAGAGATTCTTGACCAGATGCTGCAGTGTCTTGAACATCTACCAAAACCCATGCCACAGTTAGAGGTAGGGTGATTGTTATTCAGAGAAACAACTGATTGATTTATTGATTCATTTAAATGAGTTGTTTGTGTTATGGAGGAAAAGTATAGAAAACCAGCTACTGAAATAACTAACTAACTAACTATATGCTAATATTGTTACACCAGTAAGTCAATGCACCTAAAACAATTTTTCAGTAAATGTTTTCAATAAATTAGGGTATCGTAGTTAATAGTGAAAAGGTAAACTAAAGGACTCAGTGCTCAGAGACAGCTATGTTAAACTGTGACCTCACTGTGTAGTGTTTATTTATAGACTGACCTCACTTAAAGCGATAGTGCAGATTTTGGTGATTTTGCCAGGAACCAGTTTAAGACAGGAAAGGTTTGTATTGATAACAAGATGGCTGCCAGAAGAAAAAAACAATCTTTGATATGCCTTACCTTATTAATATCCTCAACCAAACAGATCTGTTTCACCCCAATGGTTTCCTCAGGACTATCTGGACATGATGGGTCTGTCGACCATGTTTCCCCGTGTAGAGGTGTTCCTAATTCAGGGTAGCCCTGTGGAGATGTTGGAAAGGCCGCCAATGGATGGTGAGGGGGAGAAAAAAGAAATATAAATAAATATATACAGTAGATGTTTGTATATACAGTATATATATATATCATCCCCCTTCAACATCAGCAAGATAGAGTGTCAGCTGCTGCAGAAAACACAAAGACTGCCATCTCCTCCACTTCTAAAGGTATTCCCTATGTTGCAGAATACTTCTGTCACATTGCCAAACTGAACCAGCTTTTGGTGCTAAGTCAACAACTAGAGGAAGACATCCGGCACCTCGGAAGTCATAAATACATTGCCCACCAGCTCTCAGTTATTTATGTAAGTAAATTTATATTGTGGTTTCTATTCAATATTGTCCATTTTCCTCACTTCTTGTGTTCTTTCACACTATAAAAAAATGCAGTGCGGTTTGAATTTAAATCTCCTTTTTTCTCAGCAAGTCATCAGTTCTTTTAGAGGAATCCAGGTCTTTTGTGAAATAAAGAAAACTATTGAGGCCAACTTCAAACAGATGAAACAGTCCTTGGTGCAGGACGAAGGCTCCAGGCATGAGCCTCAACTGGCCGCTCATTACATGAACTGGTGAGTTAAAAGCAAACTGCTGTTGGTGAATTGAACAGCTTCTGCTGACTCTGTTTGTGGTGTTTTTTTTTTTTGCTAGGATTTTAGAAATAACTCAAAATATAATATCAGCGGTGCTATCACTGCCAGAGGAGCTGACAGACGACATTCACCAGGCTGTGACCTTTGCATCCCAACTCCTGTCCTCCTGACTCACTCTGGAAAAGACCTGTGAAGTGTTTCATGAACTGAACTTTAAAGGGTGCTACACGCATTACGCCCAACGATGGTTTAGTAAGAAGGACTATGACATGGTTTTTATATTTTTGTTGTTCTGAATGTGTCACTATTTTGCAAATAAATGTACACTTGGTAAAATCCTCTTTGTACTAATCATAAATATAACTACTGTTAGTTTTTCGATAACACAATGAAACAGTATCACTGAATGCAATAGAGATATGTGTTTTTCTTGGACTGTGCATGTCCTTCACCATGGATGTCATCATAATCATAAACATACACTGCTCCTCATGTCATGTAAAACACTGGTGATGGTGATTTAAGTTTGTGTTTATTGTATGGAACAATAAATCAAATGGATGATTTCTAGACTTGCAAGATCTCTATTATATATTGTGTATATAAAGTATATATATTAAGTTTCACGTTTATTCTGTTAGTAGTTTTTGAGCTATTTAAGTTAATTTAAGTGCTAGGCTAGCGAATTTTAGCTCCCTTATCAAACGTGTGTCAATTTTAGAAGCTTTCAGAGGATTCTGTCGACGTACACTGGAGGTCACTGATTACAAATACATTCGATCTTAAATCTCTATGATCAACATAAAGCGTGGACATAGTTAATATAGCCGATAGAATGAGCTAAGCTATAGTCTAGCAAAAGCCTGTAAGAACGGGGATTCGTGGATTTAGGTTTGAGTCTAAAAATTACCAGATAAAAATCATCATTTCAATTATTAGTGCAAAAATGGTGTGCTTACTTCGTTTGTTTTAGTTCGTGTTCTCTGTAGTACCTCTATGCATTTAAGTTTAAGGGGATGGCTCCCTCTACTGATCAAATTGTGCTACAAGTTAAATCAGGAAATACTATGACAACTCCACTACCTGTGAAAGCTGTTTAGTTCAATTACAATGGTGGCGCGTTCAGAGCGAAACGACCCCCCCCCCAAACTACATCGCAAAAAAATGCTGTAATTTTTAAAAATAAAAACAATAACGTTCTTCATGTGTCCACACCCAAAGCGTGGAAACCGTACGTCACCAGAGCTGTTGTCACTGTACACAAAACCCTTACGGCCACATTTGCCGGATTTGTCACAGGCGACAGGGGATGCGTATTTATAAGAGTGACACGTCAAATATCCAATCAGAGAAATCTGTTTGGGCAACGTGACCAATCATCAGCTGTGTTAGGCTGTACAGTAACTTGACTGTGAGAGCGGTGAAGGGAAAACATGGAGGCATGTTGTGGATGGAGTTTGACAGTTTTTCAATTTAAATTCAAGCATCAACAGTGAACGCAGAAGCAATATGAAGACGAGCAAAGAAGGTACGTGTCTGTTGTTGAAGAATCCGTCAGTCTCGTCCGTGTTTTAATCTAGTTTGCAATCCCCTGTCAAACATAAAAATTAGAGTCTCTTCGGGAAATTAATATTTAAGTGTTACTTAAAAATACGTAAGGTTTATTTAAGGGTTATAGACGCAGTTATACCCTGAGTCAGTTTGCCCAGTAAAGGCAGTAAAACTGCAGAATATTCAGTATCTGCCAATACATTTTCTTTGGAGAAAATCTCACTACGTACGATTTACAGGAAAGCATTGTGTTTAATGTTTACAATATGATTAATTTTTCTTTTCCAGATTGCGTTATTAAAAGTTTAAATGTATGTATGCATACATACACACACACACACACACACACACATATATATATATATATATATTTGTTTTTGCGGGAACTCCTCCACTGTGTGTGCGTAATTTAAAGTTGCATTGCTAACCCTATATAGATAGGGTAACAACTAATCGTCTGGAGATGACGTCAGGATACATTTTGGCATTATAAACAAATATACAATTTATGCATATATGAATATAAAAAAACCCAGCATAGTATTCGATATAATAAAAATCGAAATAATTAAATTCGAAAGTATAGCCCGGATTTAGTAGAATTGTCGTACATCGTAGACGTATTTCTGAATATCTCTACGCATACAGCCTGAAATCACAACACAGCATAATGAAGACCTCAATCATACTTGGCACTTTGTGGTAACAGCTGGCTGCTGTCAAAAGCCTGTTAAGTTAAGTGGTGTCACTATGTGGGGAAAATAGTGTGTTTTTATGTACTGTTCAAACCTAACAATGATGACTTTGTGTTTTCAGATGCAGACACACACACCATGAGGCCTGTGTGAACATCAGAGGAGTGATATGATTGCAGAGCCCACAGCTGAAGCACCATGCAGGCCTTCAGGCCAAAGGTGAGAGTTTTTTTTAACCTAACTTCTCTCCATGAATAGAATTTGCTTTATAATTATTCTCTGCATTCATGTAGGAATAGGAAGGATAGGAACTCTCAGGATGAGGCCATCTCCTCTGGGGCTGTAAATCAATCGGAGGATGAGTCAGGAAATGAGAATCGACAGAAGAACGTGGTAACGGTGTTTTTTTTACACACTTGCACTTGAGAAGAGCTAAAGTGCTGGCAAAAAAGTGGAAGTGCACATTAAGTAAACACATATGGAGCAGAATTATGAAGACTAATTCTTAGTCATGTGTCGCTATAAAACTGTGAATATATTTATTTTTTTCAAACTCAGAGAAAGAGAAAAAGAGCTCACAGCTCGGAAAACGACAAAAGCCCAAGTCCCAGAGCCGGCCGCAGCAGTGCTGGCAGAGCTGGAGGCAGCTCTAGTAAAAGGAGGCACGTGGAGGCAGTTACACTGTTTGAGGTGGTTACCATGGGCAGAGATGCAATGCAGGTGAGAAGCCCAACTGTAGAATATTAAATTTTATAACGGAAAGGTATTGTGTATTAACTTACACAATTTTACACAACTTTTTATCCCTCTGTAATTACATCTTGATGTTAGCTCAAGACATGTGGTGATATTATTTTGTTGGCACGGTTTATTAAACTTCAGAAACAAAATGTGTTCAAAGATCAATGGTGTCCAGGAAATCAAACTGTCTGGTTTTTCTTTTTATCTGTTCAGTGAGTAAATCCAGTAAATAAGGTTTCTGTTTTTCGCTGCCCTTGTGAAGTTTCCTAAAATGATCCCAATCAAACTGGTTAAAATCAACTGCATTAAACTTACTACAGAAATTTAGTACAAACTTGGACTGACTTACTGTAATGTGATGTGGAGCAGGTGGTGATAGACGACTGGATTGAAGCGTATGTGGCCGACAGAGACTCATCTCTTCTTGACCTCATCAACTTTTTCATTCAGTCCTGCGGCTGCAAAAGTAAACATATCACACACACACACGCACTAAAAATATACAGTACACAGCGTCATACGTGTCTCTTCTGCTCTGTCCTAGGTGTGGTTACGGCAGAGATGTGTCATAACAAAGAGGACAGTGATGTGATGAGTAAAATGGTTGAGGACTTGGACGAGGTAAGATCTTGTCTCATCCTTCTGTCTGTTTCCAGTGCATTATTTAATACATTTAATGCACTATGGGAGTTAAAATTTCTGTGCATTTCAGGTAGCGTGTCTACAGTATAAAAGGTTCCTGGCTTTTCCTTGGATCCTCACAGTCACATGGCCCATAGACACAGTAAGTAAGAGCACTGGTCTTTAATAACAGACCTCGTGTTGTTTTGAAGTTTTGACTCTGCACGTTAGGAAAAAGATGCCAAACGATTGAGACTCTGTTCTCTAACCTTGAAGTCCGATCTTTCCTCCTCTGTCTCTGCTTGACAGGACAGTGTGGAATATCCCCTCATACAGTCTGGTCCCTATGGTCACTGGTTCCACTCCGGGTTTTGTGACTTTGTGTCAGTGCTGGTGGCCCAATGTCAGCAAAGTGTCATCTTTGATGGTTACTTGATGAACTCACTGATCTCGCTGCTGGCTGAGCTGTCAGACTCCTGCATACGAGCCTTCAGACACACTTGTGCACTGGCAGGTATGAAGAACACATAATTACACGAATAAACAAAAAAAAGAAAAAAAAACAAATTAAACAAAATATTTTCTACCATTTCTAACCAGCCATGAAGCTCCTGAGCGCTCTTGTGGGTGTGGCTCTAAGTTTGAGTGTGGGGATTGAAAACAATCAGAAACTGTACCAGTTGCAGAAGACGAAGCCTGTTCGACAGAGAAGCAAACCACAACTGGAGAGAATTAAAAACAACACCTCAGAGGTACAACACTTTATCGTGTATTTACCTTTGTGGAGGGTAACTTATCCTTGAGGATTAGTCACTTC